CCCCCTTTGCCTTCCACCATGATTAAAAAGCTTCCTGAGGCCCTTAATGGAAGCAGACGTTGGTGCCATGCTTCTTGTACAGCCTGCAGAACCAGGAGCCAAATAAATCTCTTTTCTTTATAAATTACCCATTCTTAGGTACTCTTTTCTAGCAATGGAAATGAAGTATTACAAAGCCATTAGGGAGTAAAAGGAAAGTCTCTCTCTCTCTCCATTACCATAAACTAATCCAGGGCCTTAAACATCACATCTGATTTGGTACAAAATCCTCCTCAATGGTAGGACGGATTCCGTATTTTCCTCTCTAACGCCACTCAACACATCTCCAATAAATTAATCCTCTTAAAGTGCTATGTAACTGAAAATTGCTGGAGTCCTCCAACTGCTCAACAAATTCCAACTTTCAACTTGGTATTAAACAATCTGGTCTATGCACACCTTCCTAGAGATATATTCCTGTACTCGTACTTGTTCGAACACTGGTAAACTGAGATGCTTGCTATTCTCCAAATGCACTTTGAGCCTTCTTACGTATACACCTCTTCCCATCTTCATGTAACCTCACTGTATCTATAATACCACACATCCTTCTAGGCTCCGCTCAATTGCCACGTTCTTCAAAAAGCCTCCCTTGGCTCTCAAACCTGGCAGAAATTATTTCTTCCAATTTAGAAATCAGAGTATACATACTTTTCTGCAACTTGTTTTATTAATAATATAACTTGGATATTTTTCCATACATAGATCTTATTCTTTTTAATAGCTTCCTAGTATTCTACTGTATTCAGGTATTTAGTTCCTTACTGGTTAATTAGGTTACTTAGAGATTTATGTTAGTCTAACATATGAATCTTTAAATACTTAGTAACTATATCTGTAAGATAATTATAACTAAAATGGTTTGATGAAAGGGTATATGAATTTTAAATTATTCTTAAACTGCATCTCAAAAAAAATTTACATTGTTATCAAGAACTCAAAAATATGTTTCCTCACACACTAGTCTGACAAGTATAAATCAGTTTAAAAACAATAAAAAGACAAACCTATAAGGACTACCATGTCTATAAGATACTGTTTTATAAAGTCTTTTTTATAAAGAAACATATTATTTCACTTCTGCAAATAAAAAGTTTATATGTGAATGTGTGTATATGTATGTGTAAGTGTAAAACACACACACACATAGGCTCCTTCTAACCCTCAGGTCTCAAATATCACCACTTCAGAAAGGCCCTCTCTGTCTACCCTATTTAAAATAATTCCTACTCTACCCCCCCATAATTCTTTATCAGAGCTTTATTTTTATTTACTTTAAGTAGACAATAAAAGGTATACTTATTCATTTACTTGCTTACTCTCTGTCTCTACTAACAGACAATATGATTATCTGCCCATTATGAGGGCAGATAATCATGTCTGCCTGGTAACTGTTTCATCCTTACCACTTAGCACAATGAATATTTGGCATATAAAATTTTGCTTAACAAATTATTTACTGAATGCACAAATACATACAATGTTTGTTAACGAGGGTTATCTCTAGAAAGTAAGATTAAGGGAAGGGCTAAAAAGTAAATTTACTTTTATTTCAGTCAATTATGTATTCTTATCCTTGACAATGAACATGTGTTATGTTTACTTTAAAATATTTTAGTGCAAGTTTAGTTTTAACCAGATCATTACAGATGCCTTGCAATCTGGTCATATAAAGAAGATTTTCTAATTTTGCCAATTTAAATGATCTAACTGAATATTATGTGGATTTTGTTGCTTATTTTGAAAGAAATCTTCAAACTTTACTTCATAAAGTTAAGCTTTTATCTTCATTTTTAATCTCCTTTAATGCTGACTACTGAATTCTCATGGGTGCTCTGCCTTTGTATGTTCTTTTGAATTATTATTACCCTAAAGTTATAGATTACTTACAATTTACAAAATGCTTTACAGATATTATTCTATTTGCCCCTCAAAGGTGTGCTGTGCAGGGATGACTGTTTAAAGTTATAGGTAAGAAAACTGAGGCACAGAGAGGCTAATCACTTCATCCACAGTGGGACTAGGACATTAATCCAGTATATCAGACTTTCAGCACAAGGTTTGTTTCATTATACAAGTTATGACAGGTTACATAAGTTAACTGGAAATGCTTCAACCTGTCTGCAAACAACACACCTATTTCAATACCCATACAGAAGCAGCATTCTGAAACATCTTACATTAAATGCATACGTTTGTAAAACAATTGCATTTAACAGAGTATTTGGAGTGATATGGGACCTAAGAAATCATTCAATTTAATTCATTTTGTAGAAAATAAAAAAATCACAGAATTACAATATGTAATCCAGTCATTAACAGCAGACATGAATTAGAACCCAAGCAATGACAGCAGATATATTTTCAGTCTTTAGAAAGTTCCTAGACATGAAATTCATGATTAAGAAGTGAAATTACACCAGTTACCTTGAGTAAAACTTTCCCTAAAGTTATAATTAACCATTACAAAAAAGCAAAATAATTGATTAGAACTTATCCTTTAGTTAACACCAACACCAACTACTGTACATCCTAGTGCTTTGGAATTAAAATATTCCACTAATGAGTAACAATTTCCTGCTATCTAGCCAACTTTTAATCATGCCAGGTCATTAGTCACTTATTCCAGTGCTTCTTTTATTCAGTATCAACCTCAGATACTATATGGAATTTTTTACAAACACTTCTGTCAAAAAAAAAGGCGGGGGAGGGGATGCTCAGTGTATATTCTTATCTACCACAGCCATAATATCCCAGCAGTCATTTAAGGAGCTGGTAAAGTATAAGTTTCCTTTATAAAAAACAAGTTCATGTTACTCCCTTTTCATCAATCTCCTCCTTTACTAGAACTAAAATTTGCCAATTATCAGAGTTGGTATGAAAGGACAGAAAAAGAAAAGCATACTTCTATGTTTTCACATTCCAGTCTCACATGATAATCTTGGAATCTATTTTTAAATTCAACTGACAGGAAGAAAGGCCAATAAAAAGTTAATGAACAAAAAATACAGACATTTTACCTGAATTCCTACTACTCTTAATCGACTGGCAATAATTTAAATAATAATAATAATAATGTACCTGCCAATGCTTTTTAAAAAATATAATTCAATAAATAATTAGAAAAAAACACAGGATTTTAGCATAAAATGATAGGCAATGTTAATCTGAAATTACAGCAAATAAAAATAATGCTGTTTTATGTTCAGTTAAATATTTTTAAAAGACACAAGATTTTCTAAAATCAAGAGCTGCTGTTACTGAAAATATATAAAAGTAAATATTTTATAAAAATATATAAAAAGTATAATATTTAATATAAATATTAAAAGTTGTATTTTAAATGTTTTGATGAATAAAGCATGTTGGGAGCAGACGTCAAAATCTACTTCACAATTTGCTCAGAAACTCTGTTTTCCAGTGATAAATGCACAAATGTTTTATATATTTTAAGCGTAATTATTAAATTTCATTAAATGTTCAAAGCTGATAATTAACCTAATAGTCATGTTAAGGATACCACAGGCCCACTATGGATGCTCCAAAGCAGCTTCTTGCAGTCGAGTACTAGCCAGCTAGCTGATGGCCAGTATATATAGCCACACACTTCAGGTGGGAATCAGAAAACTCTCCCTACAGAAATAAGACTATGAACGATTCACAAATACTTTCAACATTATTTTAAAAGAAGGTTTGTGAAGATAAGCACCTCACAAGAGATTTATTTCCTTTTTCAATAACTAATGGAAGAATATAACTCACAGAAGAGCAAAGGTAGACTACAGTGGATCCCTGAACAACATGGTTTTGAACTGCATGGTTCCATTTAAATGGTGATTTTTATTTTCAACCAAATGCAACTGAAAATATAATATTTGTGGGATATAAAACCTGACTATACAGACAGCCTAGTTTTCATGTTACTCAGTTCTTACAGAGCTGACTACAGTACTTCGATATGTACAGATCTGGGCATATGTGGAGGTCCTGGAATCAGTCTTTCCTGTATACCAGAGAATAACTGTATTTCTAAACATATGACAAATATTCTACTTCATAATCAAAGATACAAAATTCAATGAATAAGATGTCATTTTTACCGAATAATAGTTTATTTTTGCATGGGTAGGTGGGTGGTCTTGCTCTGTTGCCTAGGCTGGAGTGCAGTGGTGCAATAACAGCTCACTGAGGCCTCAACCTCTCAGGCTCAGGCAATCCTCCCACCTCAGCCTCCTTAGTAGCTGGGACCAAAGGTGTGTGCCACCACACTTGACCAATGTTTTTTGTTTTTTTATTTTTGTGAGGATGGGGTCTCATCATGTTGCCCAGGATGATCTTAAACTTTTGGACTGCACCCAGCCTAAATTTTGTATTTTTAAATGAACATGACTTTTTAATGGCTGGATAAGGTGTAATTAGGTTTGTATCCTTTCTTCACTTTTAGTAAAAATGTAAATTGTTACATCATTTACTAAAATCATTTTGACAATTACATAAATTACTGATTTAAACCATTAATTGTTCTTTTAGGAATTTTTCCTAATGAAAGAATCAGAGATTTGGACAAAGACTACTAATACGAGCATTAGTAATAAAAAAGGAAAAATATGGATAAAGAAAGGAAGAACAGGAAATGACTTAGATGTCCCAAAATAGAGGAAGTAGTTAAAATAATTATAATACAACCTTATGATGGAAAAGTTTTTTGGCCATTATAAACCATGCCTTTGAACCCCTTTAATGATATCAGGAAGATCTCAGGATATAATAACAAGTAGAAAAACAAGATACAAATTAATATATACCAAGTAATCTGAATTTAATTTTAAAAAATATATATACACATGTAGACAGTTCCATACCAAAATGTTAACACTGGTTATCTTTGGGCAGTGGTATTTTCTTAGTGTTCTAAAATAACCATGTATTACTTTTATATAATTAGCAAAGTCTTTTTTTTTAAATACTAAACTCGCCTTTTAATCAGTGGTAAAATTTAGAAAAGGCACCAGACATAACATTGACCACTTTCTGCCAAAAACATCACAGACAGAAGAGTCTACAAAGAATTCCTTTCACAGGAGAACTGGGTTGTCTTGCAGAAGTAAATACAGCAAATTCTGATATACCTCACTGATACATCTTGATTTGGTAAGAGAAAGGCAGGTGCTTGGACAGTCTGAAGGAGAAATGATGAACACTGGCCCATCTTGAGCCTCTTTCCATTTGTGTTCATTAGCATTGTGAATTTCCAAGAGTGGAATATAATGTTTATAGAGCAGTCCCCAAATCTGCTGGACCGTGGAACAAAAACAAACTTTTTGTTTGTTTGCTTTTTAGTAGACCCATTAATACATCTTGAAGGGCATAGTTTGGGAAACACTGATGTAGGGATATGCAAGAGATGATGGACTAGATCGAGACTGGCAAACTGTGGCCCACAGGCCAAATCCAGTACACTTCCTGCTTTTGCATATAAAGTTTTACGGGAACACAGCCACATGTATTTGTTACAGATTGTCTGTATTGTGTCTGTGGTGGTTTTTACACTTGCAATAGCAGAGGTGAGTGGTGTCAACAGAGACCTAATGTCAGGTAAGGCCTAAAGTATCTATTCTTTGGCCCTTTACAGAAAGTTTGCCAACCACTGGACTACATGATACATATCTTTCAGCCCTGATAGTTTGTGATTCTAAGTTATTTCTCATCAGTGGATGTCTGTTTCACTTAAAATGTTTTAAATAAAAAAAAGGGGAGGCAGTGGGAGGAAAAAAGGCAAACAGGGAGCAGGAGGGTGAAGAATAAAAGGGTATGAGAAGAAAGTCAGACTTGGTATATGAATAATGAGGAGGAAATGTGCCCTAGTGTCTCCAAGGAGGAACTGTTAAAGGGAGAACTACAAACTACAGATAATTTACTAATATATCTCTGTGATCAGTATCTGAGCTTAACCAGAAAAATAATGAAGTGAATTACTGAAAAAGGAAATAAATATTTTGTGATAGTCGTTATCTTCATGAGTCTTGTTTAAAAATAATATTGAAAGTATTTGAGTATCTTTGACACAAAGTATTGTTGTGTACTATAAGAATCTTACAATAGTTTATTTTCAATTCTACCCTATGCATCGGACTACACTACATATAACATTGTCATACTTTTAAATTTTATGTTATCAACTATTTTTGTGTTAGACCAGAGTCAGCATATTAGGACCTGCTACCTGTTTTTATAAACAAAGTTTCACGGGAGCAGCCAAGGTTGTTTGATCTATAGGGTGGCTTTTGTGATACAAAGGTGGAGTTACATAGCTGTGACAGAGACTGACCCTTTAAGCCTAAAATATTTACTATTTGGCTCTTTACAGAAAAATGCTGTTCCATATTACCCTATTGCTGCCTGCCCTATTCCCCTCACCTCCCCATCATTGGCACCCATTTGCTTTTAAAATCCACTTTATCTTGAATCATGTAAGACAAACATATTCTGATATAAGTATTTAATTCATGGTGCCTTGCACAATGGCCAAAGGCACATGAGTTTGTGAAGGTGGAAATAAACTACTTAGAGAGTAAAAACAAAAAAAATTTTTGTGGGCCCCTGTTTAGACAGTCAATTATCTCTTAAAGTAATTAAAAAATTAAAAATTATATTTTTATATTTACTTTAAAAAAGAAAACACTCTAGCCCACTTTGTTTTTGTCCTTTCACATTTTTTGTAGCATAGGTATGTCAGCAACAAATTCTCAGCTTCTGTTCTGAAAAGGTCTTTATTTCGTTTTAATTTTTGAAAGATATTTTTGCTGGGTATAGTTTTGGTTGCCTTTATTTTAAGGACTTAAGAAATATTGCTCTGTGCTCGCTTGAGCAGCACATATAATAATTATAACTTGGAACAATACAGTGAAGAGGAGCATAGCGCCTGAATTTAAAAAAAACTAAAAAAATGTTGCTCAGTGTCTTCAGGCTCCCCTTATTTCTGGCAAAAATTCTTATCTTTGTTCTTCTGTATGTAATGTTTCTTTTTTCTTTTTAAATTTCTGACTGCCTTCAAGATTTTTTCATGTTTGGTTTCTAGAAGTTTGACTATGATGTATACAGGCATATTTTCTTCCTATCACCATCAACATCATCATGGTATTTAGCTTACCTGGGGATTGTCTGAGCTTCTTTTTGGATGTATGGTTTGATCTCTTTCATTTAAAAAAATTCTTGGCCATTGTCTATCCAAACATTTGTTTTTCCCTGTCCTTGTTCTGTTTCTTTGTGAGACTCCCACAAAGAATTTATAATTTATAAATTTATTTATGTTACAGCCTCTGATATTGTCCCATCTTAGATGCTCTGTTCAGTGAATGGTGTTCCACTGTATGGATGTGTCACAATTTGTTTATCCATTCAGAAACTGAAGGATATTTTGGTTGCTTCCAAGTTTTGCCAATAATGGGTAAAATTCTTAAAAACATTTGTGTGTAAGTTTTGTGTGAATGTAAATTTTCAACTCATCTGGGTAAATATCAAGGAGCACAATTGCTAAATCTTATGATAAAAATGTTTAATTTTGTAAGAAATTGCCAAACTGTCTTCGAAAATGGCTGTACCATTCTGCATTCCCAGCAACAATGAATAAGAGCTCCTGTTGCTCTACATCCTTGTAAGTTTGGTGGTGGTGTCAGTGTTTTGGATTTTTGCTATCCTAATAAGTGCATAATGGTATCTCGTTTTTAGAGAAGTTTTAGATTCACTGCAAAATTGAGCATAAGGTACCAAAATTTCCTCTGCCCTAAACATGCATAGCTTCTCCTATTATCAACATCCCCCACTTCAGCGGTACACTGATTACAATTCAATAATCTGCACTGAGACATCATTACTACCCAAAGTCCATAGTTTATGTTAGTGTTCACTCAATGTTGCAAATTCTATGGACTTGGACAAATTTATGACATGTATCTTCCATTACAGTATCATACACAGTAGTTTCACTGCCATAAAAATCTATGCTCTGCTCATTCATTGCACTCTCCTCCCAAACCCTGGCAACCACAAATCTTTTTACTAATTCTATAGTTTTGCCTTTTCTAGAATGTCATGTAGTTGGAATCACACCGTCTTTAGCCCTTTCAAACTGGCTTCTTTCACTTGGTAATTTGCATTTATAATTTCTCCAAGGGCATTATGGTTTGACAGCTCATTTCTTTTTCTTTCTTTTTTTTTTTTTTTTGAGACAGAGTCTCACTCTGTTGCCCAAGCTGGAGTGCAATGGTACAAACTTGGCTCACTGCAACCTCTGCTTCCTGGGTTAAAGTGATTCTCATGCCTCAGCTTCCTGAGTAGCTGGGATCACAGGTGTGGACCACCACGGCTGGCTAAATTTTATATTTTTAGAAGATCTAGGGTTTTGCCATATTGGTCAAGCTGATCTCGAACTCTTGCCCTCAAGTGATCTATCCATCTCGACCTCCCAGAGTGCTGGGATTACAGGTGTGAGCCACTGCACCCAGCCTGGTGGCTCATTTCTTTTGGCAATGGGTAATATTTCACTGTCTAGATGTACACCAATTTATCCTTTCACCTATTGAAGGACAACTTCGTAATTAGGAATAAAGATGCTACAAACACATTTGCGTGCATGTTTTGCATGGACATAACTTTTCAACTAACTCATGTAAACACCAAGGAGTACAATTGCTGGATCAGATGTTAAGAGTGTGTGTTGTTTATGAGTTCTTGGTTTAACTCATCTTGTAGTCTGTAGGAGTATACCTCAAGTAATTTTAAAAGTAAAGGTATATATGAAACTGTCTCTATTAAAAATACAAAAATTAACCAGGTGTGGTGGCATGCACCTGTAATCCCAGCTACTCAGGAGGCTAAGGCAAAAGAATCGCTGAACCTGGGAGGCGGAGGTTGCAGCGAGCCGAGATTGTGCCACTGCACTACAGCCTGGGTGACAAGAGTGAAACTCCATCTCTAAATAAATAAATAAAGTACATGAAGAATGAAATGTGAATGGCGTATTTTGTAAGAATATCTTTCTGTTGCATAGAAGTCACAAAGTCTGAAATTCTATTGATTGCTTTCTCTCTCAACAATGGATGGGCTTTTTCAAGTCTATTAATTTTTGCATGAATGATGAACATGCTATGCAGAACAGCAGTAAGTATTATTTACACCTCAAAAACGGGATGCCTGTTTTTTTGTCAAGCAATTAGTGTGAAAGAGGTTAATCTAGTCAGGAATTGAGCTGGGAATGGATTTTATTATTATAGTTACCTTAAGTATACCACAGGTTTCAAATTCCTCTACTGGGAGACTACCATTGTCCTGTGCTTAGAAGCCAGAGGGTTTCTCTTTCTGTGTTGTTTTCTTTCCTCTGAGTTTTCAACCACTCCTGCATACCAACACCACAGGATATCCCTCTATGCTCTTGAACTTTCCCAAACAGCAGAAAGCTTTTATTAGTTGCTGTGAGCTCATGGTTGGGGCAGCTAGAATTCTCCATTGTTCTGGTCCAGCCTCAGTCTTTAGTAGGCCCTGTGGCTCTTCTTCCTATGGCAGCCAAAATCTGCTTTGTATTTGTACTGGTCTTAAGTGGAAGTTTCCTGCTCTTCCCCTAGTAGTAAAAGACCTCTCCTTGGTATTGCTGTAGAATCCTGAGGCCCAAAATGATTTCTGCACCTTTCAGAAGTAAAAGGTTTTCTCTTCTACCCTTTCCCCAGCATTAATGGGTCTTTGCCTGCATCCTGGGGACAGGGGGGTTCCTCCCCTAAGAAGCACAGGGGTTTGACTTCTAATCTCCCTTCAGGAACTTATGAAATAAGAAAGTTTTCTGCTCCTCGTCCACTGGTTTAAGGCTTAAAGGGGAAGGGTCTGAGTAAATGGGAAGGCCTCTGTCCTGTCTCCCAGGCACAAAGGCCTCTCTGCAACTGCAGATCATCGCTTCCTTCATCTCTAACCACGGAGATGGCTTTCTGTAGTCTCCTGCTTTTGCATCCACTTAATTGGGAGTACTCTGTGGAACCACAAGGAAAAGCATTTGCAAGAAAGTGTAAACCCCCTTTGTATATGGGGCCCCCAGACATTCCAAACTAGCCCATAGTTGGCCTTGTGGTTAAAGGCCTTTTAGTTAAAACTCTAGGAGTTTTCCTCTTACTCGCTTTTACAGTAGCCATCTCTTTCTCTTGTGTTCTGCCAAAAGTGAAACAATACACACAATCTATGCCTTTGGGGGGGTTGTATGGGGAGGATTGTCCTTTTTGGAATTTAGGTTATTTGGTTGCTGATATGGTTCAGCTGTGTCCGCACCCAAATCTCATCTTGAATTGCAGCTCCCATAATTCCCACATGTTGTGGAAGAGATAACTGAGTCATGAGGGTGGTTTCCCCCATACTGTTCTCATGGTAGTGAGTAAGTCTCACAATATCTGATGATTTCATAAGGGGTTTCCCCTTTCACTTGACTCCCATTCTCTCTTGCCTGCTGCCATGTAACATGTACCTTTTGCCTTCCACAATGATAATGAGGCCTCCCCAGCCACGTGGAACTGTGAGTCCATTAAACCTCTTTTTCTTTATAAATTACCCAGTCTCGGGTATGTCTTAATCAGCAGTGTGAAAATGGACTAATACAGTTGTTTTGCATGCTGAGCTCTCTCAAGAGAACTTACGGTGTTATAAATTACTAAGCTCTTTCTTGTGGTGAGAGTGGGATTTTCTTTATACACCTCTTTATATCCTGAACAGAAGTGGAAATCTCCTTCCACTTTGATCTGTCTCCCTTTTCTATTTTTGTAAAGGTGTCACCATTCTCCTAGTGATAAGGTTTGGCTGTGTCCTCACCCAAATCTTATCTTGAACTGTAGCTCCCACAATTCCCATGTGTCACTGGAGGAACCCAGTGGGAGGTGATTGAATTATGGGAGTGGGTCTTTCCTGTGCTGTTCTCGTGATAGTGAATGAGTCTCACGAGATCTGATGGATTGGAAAAGGGAGTTCCCCTGCAAAAGCTCTCTCTTTCCCTGCTGCCATATAAAATGTGACTTGCTCCTCCATGCCTTCCACCATGATTGTGAGACCTCCCCAGCCATGTGGAACTGTAAGTCCCAAACCTGTTTCTTTTGTAAATTGCCCAGTTTCAGGCATTTCTTTATCAGCAGCATGAAAACAGACTAATACACCTAGTTTTCCAGGACTTGGGTAAACCCTGGAAGTATCTCTGACTCTTCTATAACAATGTATGATGTCCAATCAGTTGATAAAGTCTCAGTCAAATAAATCACTAACACCTCTGATATAGTTTCGATCTCTGTCCCTGCCCAAATCTCATGTGAAAATATAATCCCCAATGTTGGAGGTGGAGCCTGGTGGGAGGTATTTGGGTCATGGGAGAAGATCCCTCATGGCTTGGTGCTGTCCTTGAGATAGTGAGTTCTCACAAGATCTGGTTGTTTAAAACTGTGTAGCACCCCCCACCTCACTCTCTTGATTCTGGTCCTGCCATGTGAAATGCCTGCTTCCTGCTTGCCTTGCACCATGATTGGAAGCCTCCTGAGGGCTCCCCAGAAGCCAAGCAGATGCCAGCACAGCCTACAGAACTGTGAACCAATTAAACCTCTTCCTGTACAGCCTGCAGAATTGTGAACCAATTAAATATCTTTTCTTTATAAATTACCCAGCCTCGGGTATTTCTTTATAGCAATGCAAGAACAGACTAACACAATCTCTTTAGTAGGATGCTTTTTGACCAATTTCTTTAGTATAAGTAGTTATCATCTCACAATGGCCTCTTCTAACAATATTCCTTCAACCAGCTTGCACTCTGTCTTCCTCTCATTAAACTTGATTTCATCATCACACTCATTACGCATGACATTGTTTTTGATTATTTATAATCATGCAATCTGATCCTATTCTGCAGTTAAAGGCTACCTTACTACAGAAACAGGTCTTCTACTCTATTTCCATACTGATCCAGATTTTCCTTTGAATTAACATCTAGAAATCTTATAATTCAAGGCCTATTACAAAGGGGACATCTTACACGAAAAAATTCCCTGATCCCACAGACAGAATTCCTCTCTTCTGAACTGTATGCTGCTTTATTTGTGATATAAAAATAACACTAATCTGGACTGCTATTCAAGTTTAATACATCTCTTACATCACTTATTATATTGTAAACTCCAAAAAAGCAGAGATCAGATCTAATAAATTGCTGTATTCCTTCTTTTAGCTTTCCCATATAAATATTTATCTTGCAAATTAAAAGAAAACAGCAAAACACAAAAAAAAAACAGAATTAATAACATGACACTTGCTCTCCTCATAATCTATGCATCTTTAATGCATGCCTAATAATGTCACTAAAAAATTTCATCAGCTCCTAAAACACTATTCTCAAAAAGAAAGAAGCAAACACACTATGACTATAATGTTTATACTATCCAA